GGATCAGTGGCCTACAAACTGGACCTTCCGGCAACATCCAAACTGCACCCTGTATTCCATATCTCCTTACTGAAGAAGGGGCCGAAGTCAGGAGTCATTACAAGTGCGACCCTTCCCATATTTTCAGAAGAAGTACAAGTGCAGACTGAGCCAGCCCACATCATTGATTTCAGATGGGTGCGCCGGGGAGGCAGAGTCATACCAGAGGCATTAGTTGTTTGGTCTAACCTTCCGGAAGAGGATGCAACCTGGGAATCCTACTTAGATCTGCAATCAAAWTTTCCTACATTAGACCTTGAGGGCAAGGTCGCTCTAAAGGAAGGGGGGATTGTCAAGACTGCTGGAACAGACCAACAGAAGGCAGTTAATCAGTTTTACTAGAGGAGGCCACATCAGCACAACTAACCAGCCACTTGTAACAACTGCCATCCACTTGTAACAACTGCCTTGTAACAACTGTAACAATCAAGATTGTAAAATTATAAGTAGTAGAGCAGAAAAGGGAATAGGACATTGATTCTTTCAGCATTAAACCTTCTCTCTCTCTCTCTTTCTCTTTCCTCTCTCTTCTTCCAAGAATTCAGGAGGTTGGCCCCTCGAAGAGCCCTGAGTTAGGCAGGTTCCTAACACTACCAGTCTACTGGTACAGTAGTACTGCCTATTTATGTATTTCTATAGGCTAAAAATTATTACAAAGTCATTCTTTTTCCTAATTTTTGAGGGCTTTTAGTATTTTTATAGTTTTTTTTGACAATTTTTAGAATAAATCTTACAATTTATGATGCAATTTGATTCAAACCTCTACGATTTATGGTAAGACTATGATTTTCAGAACATTGCACTAAACAGAAGAATCCCAGAGTTACTAAAACTGGTAAGTCGTCTTTTACAATAAATAGTAATGGCAAAAATTACTATAAATGCTAATCAACTTGTTGAGTAGGACTTTGATGGCAAAAATTACTATAAATGCTAATCAACTTGTTGAGTAGGACTTTGACCATGCCTTGCAGAACACAAAATCCAGCCAACTTAAAGTTTTTAGCTGGGGCACTTTCACATGTTGGATTTTGCTAAAATTCTACAGTATTGGAGTTCTGCAAGTGTACTTTAATGCCTCCAAATTTCAGCCAAATGAAACTACATTTGACTGGTCAAACACTCACTTCTTTTCCAGTTGACGATGCATTCTGCAAGTATTTACTTGACCCTTTTCTTCAATTTCTTTCATTGGGACTTGCTTAAAATCTTCTTATAAGAACTTGCATCAGTGTCTTATAACACTCCTTACTGGTGTAGTCTTTCTCTTTGGTTTAGAATGAAGTATTTCTCATTGCAATAGCTAATTCTGGTTATCTCTATTTCCCACTTTTATATTATTGAAGTGAAATTTAGTGGTTACAATGTATTCACACAACTCAATATGATAATCTAGTTGGGACTGATGGCTCTTGTATCTGTCATACAGGTTGTGGCGATCCGAGATATAATACCACCACCCCAACGGGAGGCATTTAATGATGTTTATATTGCATATGAGCTGATGGACACTGACCTTCATCAAATAATTCGTTCCAATCAAGCATTATCTGAGGAGCACTGTCAGGTTATATTTCTGGTGATATACCACTTAATATGTTTGATTAAAATTCATTGTCACATTAAATTATGTACCCATGGAGACAGAAATATGGTTTGCATATCTCAAAGAACCATTCAACCTAAAAACTTAAGCTGTTAAGTGAAGTCCTTGAATAGGTTTTATTCTCTAACATGCCCCCTCACACGAAATCCCATTGGGCTTGAAGCGTGGACAGCACAGGCCCACCCATACATCGTGCTGAAACTTAATTAATTATAATGGGGTACGAGAATCGAATACTAGACCACTTGGTCAAAGTGGCTCTGATACCATCTCAAAGAACGAGTCAACCTAAAAGCTTAAGCTGTTAAGTGAAGTTCTTGAATAGGTTTTATTCTCTAACAGCATATATATGTTCTACCTTAATTCATCGCTGAATGGGGCATTGGTGACTGATGCACTTAGGTACAGTGTTTCCAAATGTGTTCTGTTAAAGGAAGGGATTGTTAACAGGAACAAAACAATCTGTGCACTAATGACGGTATATATTAGCTACCACAAAAAGCCATGCAAGAAAGAAAGCAAAAAGCAAAAAAAAAAAAAAAGAAAAAAGAGATATACCTCTATTACATCTGACCAATAACCAAGCTATGCCTGACCCAACTTTGGAATATTTAAACTCATTATGAGAATTTTGAGGTTCAAGTCTTTGTTATAGGCTTATAGCTTACAGGTTTTAGCGGAGAATAAGTACCCAGTTTTAGTTTGTGAATCTCCTTAGAAAGCTTCTCACATATCTCCATTGGTGACATTATTAGAAAATGGAAGGAGGTTTGTGACATTTTAGTGGAGAATAAGTACCCAGTTTTAGTTTGTGAATCTCCTTAGAAAGCTTCTCACATATCTCCACTGATGACATTATTAGAAAATGGAAGGAGGTGGCGGATTCAAATGTCAATAAACAGCCTATTATCCTACCTGGTCTCCTCCTGAAAGTGGATTTATCAAGCTTAACTTTGACGGAAGCAGTTTGGGACCCGGGCATGTCAGGAATTGGAGATGTATTCAGGGATGAGGATGGTTAAGTGCTTGCAATATTTTCAGGCCCAGCAGGTGAGGATGATTCACTACAAGTGGAAGTAATGGTGGTTACGGAAGGGGTGCAAAGGGCTAGAATCATGAATGTTAGAAAGCTAATTATCGAAGGGGATTCCAAACTGGTAGTGGCTTGGCTACTTGATGAGGAAAGTAGGACGTGGAAATACAACAATGAGAAGAAAAAATTCAAATGGATCACAAAGGACGTGGAAATACAACAATGAGAAGTTCAGTTTTAGTTTATTTGGTGTGGGTGCTTTCCAATCCATTCTCACACTTCCTCTATGTACTTTCCAATCCATTCTCACACTTCAGTCTAGTTCCTTAGAATGTCATTCATAGAGATCTTCCTGAAGAGTTCCATAGTTTTAACCCAATGTGCATGTTTGATTTTTATAGCTTCATTCACTTCCTCCTTTGATTCTATGATTTCTTTCTTCCTAGATAGTCCATGCCACAACTGCTCTTACAGCCGTCCACAGGCATTTTCTCCTTTTTTCTGTTTCCTTAGGAAGTTAGAGCTGAAGAGATTCACTACATCCTGTTAGGGGGCCCATCTGCAACCAATGAGAGAGCAAAGTATATCCAAATACAAGAGACAAAGGAGCATAAGATTAAGTAAATAAGGTAGGGTTTCACCACAAGACTTACAAAGGAGACACACATGAGGAGAGAGGCACTTATTTGGCCCTCATTTCTGTAGCATGTCACATGTGTTTACCTTCACAAGAAACATTTCCCAACAAAAGGCTTGTACTTTAGGAGGGATTGGTTCATCCCCAAAGTTTTAGAATGAGTAAGCAGACTAAAGAAAGAAGCATAGGAAAATAAGCCACCAGAGGCTGGGAACCAGATTCTACTGTCAGCAACATTTTGTTCCAAGTCGAGCTTGTACACTACAGAGTTGAAATCAATAGAAGTAGGGAATCACATTCATCGTCTTCAGAGTTCAGATCCCTTCTAAATCCAAAGTCCCAAGGTAGGCCCAATTCTTGATTTAAAGCCACCTTTCTTTTATTAATAAAATACTTTTCTAATTTTACTGATAAAAAAAAGATAGGCCCAATTCTGATTTCTGAATGCACACCAAACCTGGCAATAGGTTCAGCCTTAAGGTTTGACAAGGAGTAGAGTTTAGGGAATTGGACATTAAGGGGCAAATCCCCTACCCATAGGTCTTCCTAGAATAACACTTTAATTCCACACCCAACATCAAGATGAATAAAGTTAAGGAAGGATGGAAATACCTCAATGATTGCTTTCCAAGGGGAGTTTGGAGCTGCATGGGAGACTATTCTTGCATCTCAACTGTTGTGTGCTTCACCATGAATGCTTTTAATGACCATGTGCCACAACCTATCTTCATGATGGAATCTCAGCCATTTACCTAGCAGAGCCATATTTTTCTTCAATAGGTTTCCGATACCTAGGCCACCTTGCTCCTTGGGTTTGCAAACTTGTTCCCATTTCACTAAATGGTCTCTCTTTTAATCTCTTGGCTCCTACAAGAAATCCCTCATTATCTTTTCTAGCTATTTAGCTATTTATGCCACGACCCTAAAAATTGAGAGGAAATAAGTTGGCAGATTAGTTAAAGTGGACTTTATCAAGGTTATTCTTCCCCCCAATGAGATATAGCTTCTTTTCCACATTGCTAACTTTTAGTAATTCTCTCTAGAACTAGATACTCTAGAGGCCAAGGGCATACATACCTACAGCATACCTAGAGGCCAATTCTTGACTGCATAGCCTAGTAACCCTGACAAGGACTGAATGTCACCCTCTTCCAAATTTATTCCAACTACACAACTTTTTCCCTAATTGACTTTAATCTTTGAGATCTTATAGAAATTGTCCGTTAAAGCTTTCGGATTCTTCAAACTAAGTTCTAGGGCTGTTCATGGGTCGGGTTGGATCGGTTTACTAGTTTTTTTTCAACCAACCCGACCTGGTCGGGTTACCTAAAGATTAAACCGAAATCGACCCTCTATTAAACCAAACCAACCTGGTCGGTTTGGGTCGGTTTTGGTTTAAATATATACATTTCCGAAATATATATTTCAGCTTTATGTATATATAATATTTCAGAATATATTTTCTGGAAATATATTTAAAACTGAAATATACATTTCAGAAATATATATTTAAAACTGAAATATACATATTATATATAATATTTCAGCGAGAATATATTTATTGGAAATACATTTAAAACTGAAATATATATTTCGAAATATACATATTATATATAATATTTCAGTATGAATATATTTATAGATAACTCGGTTCGGTTCGGTTCAGTTTCGGTTTTCATGTGTGAAAACCGAAACCGAACCGAATTATCAGTTTACCCATCTTTCCAACCTGAAACCGACCGGTGGTGAAGAAAAACTGGCCAAATCGGATTGGGCCAGGACGGGTTGGTCGGTTTGAATTTATTTGTGAACAGCCTACTAAGTTCATCACAATCCTTTCAGAAAATGATAATGTCATTTGCAAACTGCAAGTGGGTCACCACCACCTCTGACCTACCCATCTTCCAACCTCTAAACTGATTTTCTTGATCAGATTTGATGATTTTGCTTACTTAGGACCTCAACAACAATGGTGAACAAGAAGAGGGATAGGAGGTTACCTTGTCTTAGTCCTCTTTTTGCTAGGAAGAAATCCTTTGCTGCTTCATTTAAAAGGATTGAGAAATGTGTGAGATAATACAACCTTTGATCCACAATCTCCATCTTTCACCTAAACCAATCTTTTCCATGAGACTCACAAGGAGGGGTCAGTCCACCATGTCATAAGCTTTCTCCAGATCCAATTGCAAATCAGACCTTTCCCTCCTTGTTTTTTCTTTGCTGCTACACACTCATTTGCCATTGGGATTTGATCCACTAGTTGTCTCCCTTCCACAAAGGCTCCTTGATTCTAAGAGATAGCCAAGGGAAAAATAGTTTTTAATTGACCAGCTAGGAATTTAGCAATGATCTTGTACATACTACCCTCAAGGCTTATTGGTTTATAGTCCTTTGGGGTTTTGGCCTCTTTCTTCTAAGGCACTAGAACAAGTAAGGTTGAATTTGCTCCTGGTGAGATCTCCCCTTTTTGATGGAACTCAACAAAGATTAATACTTTGGACAGTTTTTTTTGTTAGGGAATGGTAACTTTCATTAGTTAAAAACCAGAAGTACAACTGTCACCTACTAAGTGAAACTGTGAAAGGTGACCCCTGAACAAAAAGCAACTTACAACACTGCCCAAACGGTAACTTTCATTAATACTTTGGACTATTTGCAGAAGAAAAAATCTTTTTTGTGCCTGTCCCCTTCTTGGTGTATTTCATTACTAATTTCCTATACCTTTTTTGCAGCTATTTGGGTTTGGATGTAGATGGAACCAACCTGTGGATATAAGCCGACTCTTTGATCCATCGGCTTTTGTGTGGCCCAACAAAAGAGGAAGAATATGTGGAAATGTATTAGAGCTTTGACAATTTGGGAAGAAAGGAATGCAAGGATTTTCCAAGAAAAGGAACAGAATCTTTATATTATCAAGGAGTGCATCTTAACAAGGGCAATTCATTGGCTGAAAACTCTGGGTTCTTTCCAATTGTTCACTTTGGACGATCTTTGGAGGAGCTGATTACCAGTGGCAAACAGCTCCTCGAGGAAGGAAAAAGGTCTTTGTTCCTTGGACTCCACCACCTGATGATTGGGTAAAGTTGAATTTTGATGGAAGTAGTCAAGAAAACCCTGCCCCCTCAATCATAGGAAGAGTCTTGAGAGATAAGGACAGCAACATCTTAGCCTTATACTCTGGTCCAGTGGGAGCAGGAGACTCAGTCATGGCTGAATTATTGGCGGCTTTACAGGGTATTCAGATAGCAAACCATTTAGGAGTTGAGCATCTTCTCATTGAAGGAGATTCTA